GCCGTGGCCCGAGAGTGAGTCTTGCAATCTTTAGCTGGGTCATACCTCAAGATTAGTAAGTTTGGGTAGTCCAGTCACACAGACGGAGCCCTAATCAGTGGTATAACCCATGGTTTCAATTTGAAAAAATAAGGAGGATATAAGGTTGGTTGACGTGTCACACGTGCTAAGTGGTGGCAAGTCGCAAGAGCATGAGTCTTGTCTTATATATGAGAATATGGTGACAATGCACCTAGTTATGTAAGTAAAGAAGTTATAGAGTAATAATGATAAAATGTGATATATGGGGACATGTTTTTATAAATTTGATCTCCTTGTGCATGTATTTATTTTATAATTGATATATAATTGCATAGGGTAGGTTTAATCTTGGTTATTGAGTAGCTAGACTTACCCCTTTTATTTAATACTTTTCAGGTTCCAACTTTAATGTTAAAAGGAAGAAGACTACAGAGGTGGGGAATTAGCATATTCCTTCCGTATTCCTCTAGTTTAGCTCTAAAATGTGTAATAGTATTTGAATTGCCAATTTTATGATGCATATTACCTCACTTGTACTATTTTGGTTGTTAAAAATGTTAGGGCCCTTAACCTTTGTTTATGTTGTCATGTATATATTTATAAGGTCAAAATACTAATGCAATTATAGAAATAAAGTTTTGAGCATGTTTTGAATGATTTGAGTTAAATGTAATGGCAAATTACCTCCCTCTTTGTTTTTAGTAAAATGGGGTTGAGAGGTAAATTTTTGTTATATTGATATTTTGGTGCTTGTGACATGTTGTACTGGTAGTCCTAAGTTTATTGGACATTATCTAGATATTAGAAAAAGCTTTTAGCACTTGTTGAGGGTTTTGGACACCAATTTTGTGTAAAAGTGTTAAAAAGTGATTAAAATATGTTTAGGTGTCCAACTTCCTAGTGTGACTTATTTTGGAAGTAAAACTTATGCCATTATGCCATTAGTTAATACAGGAAAAGAGCTTTTCGTAGACACTTAGATCACGTTATTTGGACGTTGGATGGAGAATCGGGGCGAGTTGAAAGTTCCTCAATTCTGCTGTCATTTTGATAGCAGAACCAGTGAAAAATTCGTGCAACACTCTATGGCACATAGTGCCTAAGCTGCGGCATGTGGCATAGAGAGCACTTCACCGCGGTGCAGAGTGCGTCCACCGTGGCTCACTGCTCTGTATTTCAATGCATAATTTGTTTTCAACCGTTTTCAACTCCTTTCACTCCTCTGAGGTATCTCATGCTTTCGAAACTTATTTTTACTCTAATATGAAAAATTTTGATTGATTTTAATTGTTTCTATTTAGAAAACTTGGGATCCCTTACTTTTAAATTAAACCTTTGGTAATCACTTTTCAGAGCTAATCCCTCGATTTTAATGAGCTTTATTCATTAAATGTGTTTTGTGGAGTATGAGCATTACAAACTTGGTATTATAAGTTATATGAATTTTATATCAAATTTGCTACCATGATTCATATTCAGTTTTCTAAAGCCATAAAAAATTTTCATTGCAGTACTGCTTTGGAATATCATGACACTAGATTACTCAACTTTCTTGATTCTTAGAGTACTATTTCTCAATATTCTTATTCTCACACTTCTCAACAGAATGGTTATGCAGATCAAAAACACCATCATTTCTTGATTTTATCATAGCATTGCTCATTTTCTCTTCTTATCTTGAACGATTTTAGGGTAAAGCAACCTTAACCTCTGTCTTTTACATTAATTGACTCCTGTCTCTTATCAATTGTGACACTTTTCCTTTTGAGCATCTCCATAATTATCCTCTCGATTATAGTTTTTTGAAAGTCTTTAATTGTGCCTATTTTGTTCTTCTCCCATCTTATGAGACAAACAAGCTTCAAGCTAGTTCTTGTGTTTGTTATTTTCTTGTTTATGATTTTGAACATAAGGGTTATCATTGTTGAGATCCTTTCTCTCACTATTTTACATTTCTTAACATGTTTTCTTTTAGGAAAATATCAAGTTTTTGTCTCTAATCAATCTCTTATCATTCTTATCTTCCTCACCTCTTATTTTTATAGATATTTCAATTGATTTTTTTTTCTAATGACTCAGGTACAAACTTTTCTACTAAGTTTGTTTTAATGACCGATACCGTGCCTGCTCCAGATGTGCTTGCTATCACCTCTAGTGCTTCTTCAGCATAAGTCAAACCTACTAAGTCTATATCATCCACAAACTCCCAACCTATTCGTGAAAGAAATCCTCCCATTTACCTCAATGACTAGCATTACTTTTCCATCATTCTCTCATTTTAGGAACCTAAATCTTTTATAGAAGCCTCTCATGATCCCCTCTGGCAGAAAGCTATGGCTGAGGATTTATAGGCCCTAGAGAAAATGCATACTTAGAATCTTATTGATCTTCCTCCTTATAAAACTTTTATTAGATACTGATGGATCTATAAGAATAAGACTCATTTTGATGGCTCTTTAAAGCAACATAAGGCCAATTAAGGTTTTACTCAGGAGTATTGTATCAATTATGAGGAGCTTTTATGTAACAGCCCTCCACTCTCCCCCCAGGCCCCACAACAAGGGCGACCCCACCCCTTACGGTGAGCATCAGGAGACAAAGGCTTCCCCGCAGTAGTGTGCAGGATTATTCCCCTTGCGGAGAGCCTCCCCAGGTTCGATCCTCCAACCTCTCCTACATAACAAAGTTGAGGCTGAACCTGGTACCATTGAGTCAACTTGACTCAATGGTACCAGGTTCAGCCTCAACTTTGTTATGTAGGAGAGGTTGGAGGATCGAACCTGGGGAGGCTCTCCGCAAGGGGAATAATCCTGCACACTACTGCGGGGAAGCCTTTGTCTCCTGATGCTCACCGTAAGGGGTGGGGTCGCCCTTGTTGTGGGGCCTGAGGGGAGAGTGTCCAGCGCTGGGAAAAGACCTCGGGGAGGCGGGGTGACCCAGAGGGCTGTTACAGCAAGTGTTCATTGAGTGTGGTCGGATGGTTGGTGTAAGCTATTGGCACATGTGCTTGAGTTGGGACATCCTATTTGTGAGATTTTGTGAAAAAGTAGTTAAAATGAGTTTTGGTGTCCAACTATTTATAGGAAATGAGTTTAACTGTGAAACTGGTGCCATTAGCTAGAGCTAGGAGAAAGCTCCATATAGATACCGGAACCATCTCAATCGAATGTCGAACAGAGATTTAGGACACGTTGGAAGTTCGCGCCCTGTGCCATCAAATGACAACATTGATGTTGTCAAATTTCGTGTAATACACCATGGCACATGGCACAGAGAAGACACGCCACGACGCACATGATACTTTCTACACAAATTCTATTTTTGAGTTTTAAAACTTATTATTTTGGGTCTCAATCAATTTTCCAGCTTTCGCTTTACTTTCAAAACTCTGATTTGGACTTATTAAATCATGTTTGAGATTTAAAATGTTGAGATTAGGATTCTTTTAACAGAATTTTGAGAAATTCCTTTTATAAAATTTTAATTTGATAATCTTTTGAGGATTAAGCCCTATGTTGCCATGATTTAGAGTCAATTGCGGTTTAATCTCAGGAAGGTTACAATTATCGCAGGCAATAACGATACAGGAATCCAGGAGCTTAAGACATATTTGGGCTAGTAATTTGAAAAAAAGGATATTGGTAGACCGAACTATTTTCTTGGGCTTAAGGTCCACCATAGGAGAGATGGTATATCTCTTTCTCAGGTTAAGCATGCCATTGATTTGATATCCCAAGCTCAGCATTCTGACAAAGAGGTTGAAAATACTCCTCTTGAGCCGAATGTTCATTATGCTTTCACTTATAGCACTTTATTAGATAATCTTACTTGTTACTGCTAGCTAGTTGGGAGCCTCATCTATCTTACTGTGACCTGTCCTAACATTGCTCATGTAGTCTATAGTGTCAGCCAATTTACGTCGGGACTTTGAACTACTTATTATGCAGCAATTCTTTGAATCATTCATTATATCAGAGGCACTTAATATAATGGGCTTCACTTCTTTGCTAGCTCCTCTTTTGCATTACAAACTAACTCTAAATGCTGATTGGGGTAGTGTTCGTGATGATTCACAACCTACAACTCATTTTTGTATCTTTCTTGGCCATTCTCTTATCTCTTAGAGAAATAAGAAGCAAACATTAACCTCCTGCTCTAGTACTAAATCGAAATACCATGCACTAGTAGACACGATCGTTGAGGTACTTTAGCTTCATTAGTTACTTGATGAACTAGAAGCATCTTAAAGCTTCTCCATAAACATATATTGTGATAGTCAAATTGTGATCAAAATTGCTCACAATAATATGTTTCATGAGCAGACCAAATATATTGAAAATGTTTATCACTTTATTCGACAACATGTTTATAACACCATTTGACTTGTTCCAATTTGAATTAAGCATTAGCCAACAGATTTGTTTACGAAATCCTTTCATCCAAGCTGCTTTCATTTCTTAGTAAACAAACTCAAATTGCTCTCTCTTAAGCTATATCTTGAGTTTGAGGGAAATGTTATCTAAAATATTCTTCATATATATTTTATCATTATTATATATACATTTTAATCATGACTAAAAAAATATTATTTAATATTATTATATAATTATTATTCATTATTGTATTGTTTATTTTTTAATGTAAATAACATACCCTTCACGTCAGCAATACGCACAACATTTTCCAATTCTTCTTCAGTTTTATTATAGAGATTGAGCTGACGTGCTGCTAGAACCACACTTTAAAAGCGAAACGCTTGGAAGTTCATACGAAATTGATTAAAATGCTAGTGATGGACTAGACGACGTGCAAACTCTTGCGGAAGTTCCCTTGATTTGTCCATTCACGTATTTGATAGATATAGGAGGGCCCATCATCTTTGAACTTATAGTGAATCACGTATAGATTATAACTTTCGAAACGCGTCCTACTCCAGACTAAGATCAGCAAATCATCATGGACTGTACGCGTGATTCTAGTAACGAATAACAATGACAAATATGCGGCATCATTCAACGGATTGCACCATAATAATGCTCCAACACAGCCTATTAATACAGAAGTAAAAAGGTTCCAGAAAGATAAGCATCATCAAACTAAAAGCTCTACAAGAGGCCAGCGCCACTCAGTTAAAGACTAAAAAGTACTTATAGAAGTTGACTACCAACTATGCTATTGACCTTTGGAAGGGGCAACAATTAAGGGAGCATGAATATTTTTTGAAAGTAGGAGATGGACTTGTCATCAAAAGGCCGGTGTTCAGATCAGCTAAACAATGGCTATAGTCCATTTGCTACTCGTCATCTTCCTCCTGCACCCGAGAACATTAAAGCCAATGGGATATTGATTTTAAGAGTTTCATGGACACAGAACTAAACTAACAATACTTTAAATTTAAGCAAACCTCATCGCTGCCCTCCTCATCTCCTCCCTCCGCATCATTCACCTCAGACATTGACTTCTCAGATTCTTCTTCTTCTGCAGCATTTGGACCTTCCGCCTAACAAGCCACGCAAGGAAAACACGATAAGTACAAGCTGGAAAAGTAAACCATGATACTAGTACAAAAACACGTGTTTCGCAATGACGCACCTGTCGCTTGTTATAGGCTTTCATATTCTTCTCGTAATCAGCCTTTCGTTTCTCTGCTTTAGCAACATAGGGTGCCTTCTCCTAAAATCATCCAAGCTTGTTTTAAATTGAAGAACAAACCACAACACACTCAAGAAAAAATAACAAACAAAAAACAGAGAATACATACAGCATCAGACATGGACTTCCATTTTGCCCCAGCAGCTTTGCCAACCTGACGAATTAAACAATATAAGGTTTGAGAGGCATATCAGCACAACCAACAACAGCTCAATTATTAAATTAATGTCCGGTAAATCAAATGTATAGTAACAACTTACGGCAGACACTGCTTTGTTGTTAGGATTTTCCTTGTTAAACTGCTTCCTAAACTCCTCCCTGTAAGAATAAAATTTAGGAACATGAGGGGGTAAAAGAAGATTGGACTGAGGCAAAAGAAGTTTTAATGTGCCAACAGGCCTCGTGTAGAGGCAACTACTTCTAGCATCCTCCATATGCAGGTGCAATTTGTCATTAAAAAGATCCCAACATTCAAAAACTCTACTGATTCCTTGCCGAAATGGTAAAAGCTTTGACCAGAACTATATCCGGTGGAAACAGGAAAGAGCGCAAAGGAAAATCAAAATGGAAGGATGAAAAAGTAATTACATGAAAACGAAGAAGGCGCTGGCCGGTCTCTTTGGCTTGTTAGGGTCTTTCGCAGCCTTCCCCTTACTTGGTTTCCTGCCTGCCTTGGAGGCGGCGCCTTTCTTATTCACAGCAAGCCTGCCATGGCAAATAGAAGCAGTAACTACCAACTACGAAAGAGCGACATCTGAGCAAGTTGGCCAGAGATGATACAAAACTTCAGATCCCAGATCTTACAGGGCCTGATCATTTTCCTCCTCTTAACCGATCGCTCGAACTAAAGAGCGTCTGCTAGGATTTAAATAACAAAAAAATTTAGGAGAGAATGGTACTTACTTGGCATCAGCTTTCTTAGAATCCGCCTTCGATCTGTCGCCTTTCATGTCGAAAACTGCAGCGGAATAGCCGAATCAGTTTTGGTTCAAAACTCAATCAGAACATAAACGTAGAAATGACAAAAACAAAAGAAAAGGCGTCAAAGATGACGAAGAGATAAGGGAATTATGTACCAGGATAGTGAATCGGAGAGAAGGATTTCCACGAGAGAAACGAGTTGGGGACAAGAGAAGTTGGATGGCTAGGGCTTGAAACGGCGAAAGACGGAGATATTTTAAACCTCTTGAAGGAAATTGAAATTCAATCGCCCGCGAAATGAAATGAACCATGGATTAGGCGGGATTTTAATTCCGCAGCAAATTTTGAGAACAATATGAATATGGACAGAATTTGTGATGAAATATATTATTTAAATCTTAACAGATATTTTTCCATTCCTATTAAAAAATTTAGCAGATACTATAATCCAATTCATTCAAGGACTCTTATTATTTATAAGATAAAAAATTATCTCATTTTCTAGAGTCATGTTTTTATTATTTATCAATTCAATATAAAATTAAAGAACATACAACCACACAAGTATTATAGTGATACTTATTTAATATTTAATAATCAACCAATTTAGTTTTTAATATCTAATATTCTCAGATAAAATTTAAATTAATGATAAATATATTTTTCTCATCACAGATGTTAAGATCATTATTTTGAGTAAGTAGGCAAATTATCCCTAAACTTTTAACCCAATAGCATCATAGATTCTAAATTTATTTATTATGTAAATATTTTTTTAATTTTTAAAAATGATATAATTTGACTTTTGGTGTTAATAAAAGTTAAATTTGGCAGTTAATTGACTAAAAAATGACATAAGTTATCTTAAAAATTACCAAAAAACTTACAATGAAGGGCCTAGAAGTCATAAATAAGGATCCAAAAATTACAAAAAGAACCAAGAATTGTTTGGTCCTTTCCCATAATTTTTAAGATTTTTTTAATATTTTTTAGTTAACTAACAATTAAAATTGGCTTTTGTTAATGGAAAAAATTACATTGTATCATTTTTAAAGGTTGATGGAATCATTTATACAATAAATAAGTTCAAGATTTATGATATTACTGGTTTGAAAGTTCACAAGGTAATTTCATCATTTTTCCTATTATCTTCATTTAATAAATTTATTTTATATTTATTATAAAGGGTTAATATTTAATTTTATCTCATATACTTTTTTTCAGGAGCATTAGGCACCATGTATTTTTAAATGGGGTAAATTTTCTCCTGAATTATTTTTTAAGGGAGCAAAAATTCCCTTTCATTGATTGACCATTTATTCTTTCGTTATACGGTGAGTTGTTATTGCATGAGACCCAAGAAAAGTTGATTTGGCATGGTCAAACCCCCTTTTGACTGGACAGTTGGAATATTTTAAAAATAAAAAAAATGCTTTCTAGGCTGCTTCTTTCCCATGCTCTTCCCCTCCCCTCCTCCCAACCAAACATACCATTAAAGCAGCCCCCCTTCCCACTTCTTCATCCTCTTCGTCTTCTGCCTCCATTGCCCAAGAACTTATGACTTATTTCTTTTCCAAATTCATTGAATAGATCAAGCACTGTTGAACATATGTCGTCGTTCTTCACTGATTGTTGTTGCCATTGATGTATTGCTCAACATCAGTGATTCACATTCAATTGCAAGATCAACTTTGAGATTGCCAACAAGAACTGCTTCTTCGTCTGATATCTATATGTCGCTTCCTCATATCTCTATGGGTTTGCAAATTTATCTTATTTCATTGCATATCCATGGCTTCCTCAAAGCTTCGTTGAAGCTTCTTCCTTATTCTATAGCTTTCATCACTAATCTATGGCTTTTGGTTTATGATGTTCACCAAGTTTTCATGATTTTGTGATAATATTTTATATGTTTGCCAGAGTCCAGAGGCAAGCAAACATTATTTGGTTTTTGTGTTTGCGAGATTATTCTTATTTTTTCTTATCAGTAGCTATATTATCGATTTGTGAGATTTTTCTTGGATTTTTGCTTGAGGTTTGGATCTTGGATGGAACAGGAGTGAAGACACGGGTTGGTGAGAGGAGAGAGAGAGAGAGATGAATTTGGTGAAGGGATGGAGCTTGGAGTGTTTTTTTTTTTTTTTTTTTTTGCGTAAGGAAGCTGCGTTGGAATTCAAGTGGTGCCCACATCTTGCACATCATGGGAGAATAAACGGCCAGTCGATGGAAGAGGGTTTTTGTTCCCTTAAAAAATAGGTCAAGGAAAAATTTGCCCTATTTAAGAATAGATGGTACCCAATGCTCTTAAAAAAAAAATACAAGGACAAACTTGAACATTAACCCTGTTATAAATGTACTTATTATTTTTTTGTTTGCATTTTCAATCAAATTCTTTACACAATATTATACAAAAACAGTGTATGATTTTTGAATGTTGATATTTTGAAAATGTCTATTAATCTTAATATTGTTTTTAATGGTGTGTATTTTATATGAGATAAAATATACTTCTAGTGGGCCTTGTTTATTCTGTGCTCCCATGAATATCTGCTCCAAATGCTATCAGGATTTTTGTTTCAACGAACAAGAGGGTGCGGCAGGCCGCCATTCATCCATGCATGTGCGGACGGAGGATAGTTTCCTCCAGCTATTTTCTGACCTTGCGGAGATTATTTATGGTCTTCAAATTTGCTGGGACACACGGACCACGAATGTAGAGTGTGCAAGTTTTTATTGATTGTGCTTAAGCTGTCAATTTACTTACAAAATATCCGCACTCTTTTACAGACACATAGATGATGCCAAAATTATTTTGTATAGGAATGAAAATGCTTCTTCAAATCTCGTGTGTGAGGAAGCTGATCTGGCCACCGTTTTTTTTTTTGCAGGTAAGTTTATAATTTTTTATCAACTACCACTTACCGTGTATAAAGGAAGTGGATGATTATTTATATTTTAATTTTAATTAATTGATGCATATTTTATTTTTAAAAAGTCGAAATGGTCGTGTCTTAAGTGGTAGCAAAGAGAACGTGGTCCAAAGGCTTTTAATTCCATGACTGATAGCGAAGGTAAGGGGGCAATAGCATTCAACAAGAATCAAGTCGTGTGGGAAGTGAGAATTGAACATTCTTGGTATACAATTATCACGCTCGATTTATCAATATGACTGTGAACATGCATTATTTGAAGGGGACTTTCATCACTCTGGGAAAACTTCAATGGTATATATTTTTGGTTTTGGCCTTTTGAGTATGAATTGTCTAGTTATGGGAGGGGGGAGAAAGGAAATTGATATTGTGATGAAATAATTCATGTGGCTGGATTCAAAATACTAACAATGGTAATAGTAATAGATCAGTGCTTGATCTCAGTTACACTTTTAGAAAAGTAAAATAAGCGTGTAGATTTAGACAGCTCAATGAATCTTGGACATGACAATTGAACGTTGGTTCGTCTACTCTTTATCATCTCCCAATCTCAATCACCATGCAAGTGAGCGGAATATGGATGGAGTTAGATTAATTATTTGGCGATATACATTCAAAACTTCAAGTTATGTGAATGCTTCTAAAAATGAAGGAAACAAAAAATCTGCCTCTCAAATCCCTCCTTCATCGCTTTAACAAGGGTGGAAGTGGCGTGGGTATGTTGATCTTGATTTTCATCTCTTGGGCTACTCATGTTTTTTTAGAGGAGTGACTTCATTTTTCTTTCAACACAATTTTTAAAGCATACTTGATTGTAACTTTCAACATTAATAATGGAGATCAAGATACTTAGATATACATTTGAATATTGCACTTTCACATTCCAAACACACTTTCTCACTTTTGGGATATAAAAATTGTTTGGATATGGTTCAATAAAATAAATATACTTTCTGAAAGTTTTTTTGGGATGAGCTAAATGTGCTTTCTTAAAAGCTCTATTTTGTTATTTTGAAAAATAGATTTGAAAAGGAGGATCTTATTTGACCATGCTATCTTAAATTTAATTTCTTATCTTTTTAAAAAATTAATTCATTAAAAATATAATTATCATTTAAAATAGTAATAATTAGATATCAAGTTTTAGTATTATATATTGAATAATTAATTAAGTTAATTTTTAGCATTAATATGTAATAAAAATTATAAATCTTTATCACATTTTTTAAAATTACAAAATTAAAAAAGTACAAATAATTATAGATTAAGTTTTTAGCATTATATACTAAATTTTATATTATTTAAAATTTTTATCATATTTTTTAAATATTCCTATATTACATTTGTGTAATAGAAGTTACAACTATCATAAATCCTGTGTCATTTTTTATAATTGTATAGTCAAAAGTATATCACTTCATAATCTAACGCAACTTTCAGCATACTAAATTGACTGTTGAGAAATATCTCTAGATATAAATTACATTACATTAACTAACTTTTATCAAAATAAACATTTATTAAATAAACTTTTAATAAATTTAAAACCAAATACATAATGATGGCATAAAGAGTCAAAAAACGAGGGTCATTGGTTAAGGGTTCCACACGAACTCGCTGTGGGGGGTTGAAGCCCAGTAGTTAAAGCAAGGACCAGGCACGTGAATGAAATTTTCCAAGGCATGTAAGCTCTCCACGAAGCTTGCCACTTATTATTGTGTTGATGAGCTTAGAGCCACCTGAAGGTCAGGAGCCATCTTGACATCATTGAGTCAAAGGTCATCGTCTACTTTCATTTTTATGTTTTTAAATAGTCTCTTCTTTGCTTTAGATAGCCAATTGCAAAAACCTTTATATAATTGGCACGTAGAAAAATATTATACGAGGATGAAAAGAGAATGCGCCTGTCATTCTTTTTATACGTTTCATGTTTAATTCGCATAAAACAACTTTATAAGTATCAAACATGCAATTACTTTCTTGATTTTCCATGATCGTTTCCCAAGTTAAAAACTTGCCTTGTTTATGTGCTTGTCAGTTGAAAGCAAACTAATCTTGTTTAGTCCAGTCCATATATTTATCAGATAGGCATTTAAATATTTTTTTTTCTCATCGACAAAAGGAATTTTATATCCTTCTCATTTGTGAGCATGTATTTTATTTTTTGGGTTCATTTATAATTTAGACCTTAAACTATATGTTCATGAGCGATTTGAATCATGTGCTTGTGATTGGTACATTTTGATTCTGAACAATTAAAGTTGGTGCATCCTTACCTCTACTGTTAATTTGAAATCAACGACAATTACTTTTTAAACAACCCACAACGTTCTCTCCCTGTCTCTGGCTCTCCCTTCCTC